TGAAACCGGCTCCCTGAGGCCCGGCCCCCTTGGCCCTGACCTCTTCCTCCTTGCGGCCTCCCTCCAGCCGCGACAGCAGCGTAGGATCTCCCTTGGCCCGCACCGCTGTGCTCCTCCTCTAACCCCCACTCAATCTAATCGTAGGGGATTTCATCCACACTACCTTCATCTAAAGTGAGCACAAGGCTATCCTTAGTCTTGATCTGCCCTGAGATAGTGCGGCCTTCCACTTTTTGCCTTTGTCTAAATCTTTGTGCCAGAAGGTGGAAATCGACGCAGATTTCGCCTCGAACGCAACCACTTCCCTGCTAAGTATATCATAAGTCATAGCAGGGTCCTGACTCTTGTCAAAAAAGTGACCACGCAGCGCTTCGGGCATGGCCCGGTAGAAGAGGTTGACCAACTGGGTCTCTGTGACCTTGTGGTCAGGAACAGCCACTAACTCATCCATTGTGCCCTTGAGTGCCCTTGCACTCTTCCATATCTGAGGTTTTGACACTACGGCCAACATCAGCAAATCGCTCGCGTAACAACTTCAAGAATTCGGTGAGGGACGTGAATGAGGAGTACGCTACCGGGTCGTCACTACAGTTGGCAGCGCGAACTTGGGACCTTGCAAAGTTGGCGGCCTCATCTCTAAGCGCGTGGATCGCAATTAGGACCCGCTGATCTGGGGATACCTGTTGCAGATGCACATAAGTCTTAACATTGGCGTCCCAATTGTCAAAGTTCTCTTCCCTTTTCCCACTATAGGAATCAGGGAATTTGACTTTGATCGGCTCCCCGCGAGGACGAGCCTCCTCCTCCTTGGGAGCGGCCACCTTGACGCCCTCAATGGCGCCGACACAAAAACGCTCAGTCTTCTCGAGGCGGTGAGTCACCTCGGACCCCACAGCGCCTACTAACTCGCGAGCAAAGTCTCGTAAGCCCGTTCGCATCGAGCGTACAGATATCTCCTGGCTGCGACTAAACTCAAAGTGCCTTTCTTGCACTTTAGCTAACCGCTCAACGCTCTGGGCGATGATCTCCACTTTACGTTGGAGATCCACTTGCGGAATCAATTGTGTTGTTACGGCATCCCTCACCTCCTCCAGTTCCTGCATTGCCGCATTCGCCGCCTCCACTCTTCTCTTCTTCTCCCTCATCACTGCGAGCTTTCACTCCATCCTTTGTTCATCCTCCATCGCCCGCCGCGTCATAACATCTTCTTCTGCTTCCCATTTCTTCATGGCGGCTTCTTGCTCATCCTTGGGGATGTACATAGCAACCTCTTCCTCCTCACCCAGGGATAAGTTGGCGACCCACTCCGAAATCTTCTTCTCCAACTCATCACTGCTGCGACCGCTGTGCTGCCCACTCCTTTGCAGTGGCGGTCCCTCCTTCTCTTCATCCACCTCCTTCAGTTTCTCCTCTTCTTCCTTTATCAACCTCTCCTTCTCCCTGGCCATTTATTCCTCCATCTTCTTCAGTTTGGCCGCCTTTTCTTCTTTCAAGGCCTTCTTCTTGGCCTCCTTCTTCTCCTTCCTCTCCTGCAGGATGGCGACCATCTTCTCCTCCTCCTCCTTCGTGTATGGTTGGGTGGCGGTACCACCTCGAGTGGGCCCTACTCTACACGCAAAGGCATGCCAAAATCCCAAAGGAAAGAGGAGACGCCAGAGGGTCCCCCAGAGGGAGAACCCAACCAGCAACCCATACATCAGGTAGTCGTCCATCGTGGTGTTGGTGCACGACAAGGGTCCCACTCCTCACCACGTAGCCCTACCCGGACACACTAACCGACTGACTGACTTCCTAAGGACCACATGATAAGACCCTGTCAACTATGGCCACTACTAACCCAAGACTACTCTAAGACTGTCACTACAGAACCAAGAGTTGATCAGGAGGCATTTAAGGAGATCCCCCAAACTCCGCAAGAATTTTTTAACGTCGTAGACAGGACGACGCGATCAGCTTGGTTCCTCTGGCGATTTTAGCCCGCAACTCAGCCGTTCCGGCCTACTGTGCCACACTGAGCAGCCCGCCGGTCTGTACCGGTCCTTGGAGGGGTTCGTATCCCTCGGGACAGTCGAGTCGTCAGACACAGATCATCAGCCTTACTAGGTCCGGTAGGGAGTGGCTCAACCAGGCCTCAATACTTAAAGACGGCCCTCGTTTCAGCCTACAGCCCGGAGTTCAGACCCTCTACACCAAACTCAGTAGACCTGCCGGACAGTACCGGTCATTGGGCTAGACGAGTTGTTTAACGAGCGCTCGCCGCTCATGCCCAGGTCTCCAAGTACCAGCGTAGAGCTTTGGTCCTACTAAGCCCGTGCAGGTTTGGCAGCAAGGCCCTATCCTTCATCCACAGATTCCTAGCACCTAGGACAGAAGAGACTCAATGCAGAACGAGTAATCAGACAGACTCCAGCTTGGTCAAAATCTTGGTCAGCAGCAGCTCCGGTCAACGCCTTTGTCAACGCCGAGTCAACAAGGGCAACCCCAGTCAACGCTTGGTCAACACCCTTGGTCAACGCCTGGTCAACCCTTGGTCAACCCTCTGGTCAACGCTCTGGTCAACGCCCGGTCAACTCCTCCCTTCGGCTATGGCTGCCGGCACCTTCACCTTCGTCACCCTCGCCGTCTACTTCCCCTTCCTTCACCTTCTTTCTTCTTCACTTTTGCAATATAATTTTTTTTTTTTTTTTTTTTTCACCCCCGGCTATGTCTGTCTTCTTCTTCAATCTCCTCCTTCCACTCTGTGTCAATGCTCCGCGGCTATGGCCGCCGTCTTCCTTCACCACCGGACTCCGCCGTCTCGCCTTACAGGTAAGTGACAACCAATCTTGGATCACTCATGTCACTC